GGTTCTCAATTGTCACCTTGTCCACATGCTGGTAATCGGGAGATCAAGTACCCCCACCTTTACGCACAGTGGCTTGCAGGAAAAAAGTGCCCATCACTCTGTTGCATGGTTTCACACTCCGGTTGTTTTGGGCGAAACTCACTTTCCATAATAGGTTTGTAACTTTGTAGTTTCTGTATTGTGAATTTCGGACCAACAAAAACCTGACGCGTGAAGTCTGAAGGTAGGATATAAACCTTGGACACTGTGTCTCTCCTTGAACTTTAGGCCTGATGAACACACTCTGGTTACACGTTTCCCGGTTCTCACTGCTTGCACAGGTGGTAATAGTGCTTTCAGCCTTTCACTGCTTCACCCATTCTCCCAGTGGAGCATCCACAATGACTGACATAGAATTCATTTGTACTCTACTTCCCCGTTCTCCCTACAGCCGCACAGGGCGTGTGCAGCTAAAAGTGCTTGTGATACTCCTCCGTTCTCTCTGTGGGGAGCAGTACAACGAGTTAGTGACAGCGCCCTGCTTGCACTACTATGCATACAGTTCGACGTACTGATCCTGTTCACGGCGCTTGCAACAAGTCGGATTAATTCCATGGATTTTTTTTTTGGTAATTTTATATTATATGACACTCCATATGGTGAGTAGTTGTAATACCGTCTACGGCCGAATAGAAAGCCCGGTCATGACAGCTGTATGTGGCCCACTTTCAGTCTAGATGCAGCAATAATGACCGGACATGCTACTTGGGTGAAGCCAGTAGTTCCCCACTCTGCTCTGCTCTGCTCTGCTCTGTTCTGACAGTGATTCTACTTCTACCACATTCTCTCCCTGAGAGTCTGCCTGCCCACGCCATGTCTCTAAAAATCTGTCTAAACGGCCTAATACAACTGCTTGGATCTGGAAGCTCCATGAGTCCATGCTGATGCGGACGAGTTTGACAGCGGTACTAGTGACTTGGAAGATATTTCTCCCAAGGTTTTTAGTGCTCACTTGGGCTCGCTATTCTGGCTGTGAGAGCCTGCCTGCTACTTCCCTATTGTCTCTGTGAGAGTCTGCTGCTCTGACATCGTTTCTACATCTTCCCCGTTCTCAATGTCAGAGTGTGCCGACTACTCTGCCATTCTCTCTGTGAGAGTCTGCCAACTACTTTCCTATTCTCTCTGTGAGGGTCTGCCTATACTATTGCCCTATTCTCTATGTGAGAGTCTGCCTATGCTACTTCCCTACTTTCTCTGTGAGAGTCTGCCTATACTACTATACTACTTCCCTATCCCCTCTGGGAGAGTCCGACTACTCTGCTTCCCTATTCTCTGTGTCGGATGGTACACTCCAACTGTTTTGCTTAAGTGAACCATCCATGCTTTTGGTCCACATTCTCTCCGGACCCGAGTGGATGGTCGGATCATGGTCCTGAGCAGTACAAATATCTTAGCAGATACCCTCCTTCAGGAAAAGAAAGTAACAACAAAACTACACCAAAGAGAAGGCAAAACAATAAACAAAAGAGTGTTTTCTTTTCCAAAAGAAAAAAAACTATCTTAGTATCTTGCCAAAAAAAAACACAAAAAACAAAGGTGTAATGACCTGCAAAATCGCAGACTGAGACACCTGCTGTTGTCTGAGTTTTGCTGCCTGATTGAGTGACTTGCTGAGATTCATGTATTCCGCTGAGATTTCTAAGTTTTTGTGTCTGTGTGATTGCTGAGTTCCCGTGTGTTTGCCTGTCTGCATGATTGCGTGTGGGTGTGGGTGTGGGTGTGTGTGACCCACTCTGGTACTGTGTGGAAAGGCCCGCGGGCTGCCTGGTACTTACCTGTGGCCGTGTGGTTGTGAGGGCGCAGCAGGGTAGTAGCATACGAAAGGCCCGCGAAGGCCAAAACACTCAAGTGGCAGGTAGGTAGGCAGAAGAAGACAAAAAGTTTGTACCTTGGGAGGGAGGTGAAAGTAGAAATTAGAGTCCTGTACCTTGGGAGAGAACGGTACTGATCTAAGTAGCTAGAGTCTATACAGGCTGCAGGAGGGGATACCAGACTGCAATGATGATTCCCCCCGAAAGTGGAAGGTACGGGGTAGACTTAGAGGTAGTGCCGCCTGGAAGTGACTGTGTGAAGAGGTGCTAGTCCGGTATTTCAAGGGAAGAAGCAAAGAGCTCGTCCTCATTTGCAGATGTGCAGCTTGGAGGCACACTCCTGGAGCGACCACCCACCTGAGCAGCGCTGGTTTAGAAAGAGTCGGGCTTGGCCCTGCACCTTGGTTATGGTGGAGAGGACCAAGGAGGGGAGGAGGAGGAGGAGGAGGAGGAGGAGGAAGACGGTGAGCAAGGAGGAGAGTGACGGAGGAGATTACCTGGCTATGGTGGTCTGCATCTTTTTTTTTTTTTTTTTTTTT